ACCTCTCTACCGTGGTGGTTTATTCACTCATTTGTTTTTCTGTGTTTATTTGTTATTGCTTTATTTGTTTATTCATTTATTTTCCTCACAGTGCTTAGATTATAAATTGATGTTACTGGAATGGATGAAAGAAAAACATGTGTACATTGTGTGGGGATAACAGTGCCTCCAGAGGCTGTGAACAGAAGAACCAAGTGAAAGTAAGTTTTAATTTTTTGGTATTATATTTAATGTTCTAAAAACCTTAAACATAAGGAGCTCTGTTACCCCTCAAAATGACCTTCAGGTATATTAGTGGTCAAAGGAAAACAACCAAAGTAAAGGTTGTGAATATCTTGAATAGAAAACTGAAGTTGGCAAGTGATCAATGTCCTGTCCTTTCTTAACCGTAGTGGAAAAGGCATGTTAGGAACATGGCTGGAAAAGATAAGGAACTGAAATTTCATAAATTTCTGATAATTACTTGCATTATCCTCCTTTGGAAATAATGACAGTCTGAAGAGAATTAGGGTTTTTTAATGCTCAAACATTAAATATTAATCACTTTATAGATTGTGATAAATCAGTCAGTAAACCAGTTAATAAACTCAGTCTCTTTAATATCTTCACTGTACTTTATCAAACATCACTTATAATTATAATTGCTTGTGATGCTTGTGAAATCCTATAATGAGTTTGTATAGCTTCAAGAAACTTCTAGTATGGAAAATAAATGTGCATGGTAAAAAGACATTGAAAAAGTAAAAATACATCATTATAATGAGCTTTGCTGTTAGACCATCTAGATTCCCCACCCCCAAAATCAGTTAAGTATATAGAAGATCTGAATGACACTATTCATCTTGATATAATGAACATTTATAGAGAGCTCTGCCTCCTGACTACTGAATAACTTTTTTTCCTACTAGACATGAAAAAGTTACCACGATCTTCTGGTCCCAGAAACAGGCTCAATACATATCAAAGTATTGAAATATAATGGGTTACATTGAGGATTAAATAAGATCTTGAAGTTAAAGGCTTTGTGCAGGCACAGAAGAGGGCTGCTTTGCTCCCCACTCCTCCAATCCCAGACATGAACCCCCTAACCCTTCTCCTCCCCATCAAAGCCAAATACTGCTTTAAGATAGTGAGTGGGGATGTCACACATGAAAACTGGGAGGTACATAAAGCAGAATCTCTATCCAAGCCACCGCTGAGGTGGGGTGGGTCCTGAATTTTGCTTATAAGTCATTAGTATGGTGTTTCAACAAAAATTGGCATACTTTATGAACTCCCAAGTACAAATTTTATAATTGCCATGCAGAATTACCTTTCTCAGGTGTACGCACTCCTCAACTGGTATTCTCCTGCGATGAATTTGCCCTGTGTTAGGAGTGCGTATCTCTGATGTACCTGCAGGGCATCTGCCCAGTCAGCCCAGTAAGGATTCAACGGTGCCTCGGCGTCTGAGCTTGTGAGAGTCACAACTGTCGTTCCTGAGTTTTGTCATCTTGAACATCACCCTTGAACATTGTGGGAATGGTGCAGACTGAACCTGGGTATCCCACTATGTTTTTTTAAACCACTGACTTTCACGGGTGTGACCTTCACTCAGGAAGACTAACCCTGCCACACACATTGCTGGGGAATTTGTCTAGACCTGTGCTGCTGGGATAACATTATCCCAGGTCGAGGGTTGAGTCTGTAAACAGCCCTTATTTGATAAAACATTATCTAGAGTTGTTCTCCATATTCTGTTCCTTGTCCCCGTACAGTGATACATGTACACTTACAGAGCATACATCTGCCTGCAAGGATTCTGCTGCTTTATTTCATTTTTTGAAGGATCCCATGAGGATGGACAATCTACTGTCCACAATCACATCTTCCTTTATGGTCGATATCTAACCCGCAAAGCAGCATAGGACACTCACTGCATGTATGCATTAAGTGGGTGAATCAGTGCGTTAAGTGTTTACTAACCCACTGCTTTGCTCTTGAAACCATGGCAGGAGTTTGGCACGCCAGTCACAATCGGAATAGACACTGTCCCTTTAAGATAGACTTCATTGGTTCTGATGGAGGTTATTTTAATTGCTTTAAAAAAAAAATAATGTTCAATCCACTGTGTAAAAACTGATTCCCTCTCCTTAGTAAACAGAGACTCTGCAGTCTGTTTCGGGTCTGGAGCCTGTGCATCAGCAGACAGTTGCTGAACGTCCGCACCCCAGGGCAGGTCCCCCGCTCTCAGGAAGGCCGGGCTGGGCTCCCAGGCTAAGGATGCCCTTCCCGGGGCTGCTCTCTAGTGTTCGCCTTGCTCCTCCAGACGTGAATGAAAGAACCACACATACGTCTCATCTCAGAACTGCAGACCCATGTACATTTTCCCCATGAAGCATCTATTGACTATTCAAGTCAGATGTGCTCAGGATAAAGGATTTCCCAGTGGCCTGAACCCAGCTGGGCTGCATGTCATTGGGAGCCACGTCATTAGGGAAAATGATCATGAATGTCAACTATGGGGATTCCCCAGGGGCTCCTGGTAAATAATCCAAGCAATGCAGGCGGTGTGGTTTCTACCTCTGCATCAGGCAAATCTCCTGGAGGAGGAAATGGCAACCCATTCCAGTATTCTTTGCTGGAAAATCCAAGGGACAGAGGAGTCTGGTGGCCTACGATTCATGGTGTCTCAAACGTCAGACACAACTTAGCAACTAAACAAATAAACGATGCTAAGTGCAGAGAGCTTGAGGGAGTTGCCCTCATGACATCCTGTGAGAATTCCATGTGCACATCTTTATAAACAGAGAAGTCACAAAAAATTAAAATGCTGTCTGAACTCAATGAGGTAGCAACTTCAGCCAGACAGTTTCCTCTTTAGACCACAGAAAACCATGTAGTGAGAAGAACCTTCGATTGAAGCTCCCGCTGCACACACAGGGAGAACTGAGAGTGACTGCATCCCTGACACAGTAAGGAAAGCAGCTACAGCTTTACCAGGAGGAGGGGCCCCATGCGTACACTAGATGGAAATTCAATAAATGTGCAAATTCCATTCCTTATAGAAAGCACTCTGCAGGCCATGGAGAATACGCACTGAATGAAATAATCTCAGTAAAAGGTATCCACCCCTCAGTTATTCCTTGTTTCTGAGTGACAAGAAAGTCCCTACCCTGAGGAGACGCCAATGAGAACTCAACACGGAAAATCTTTCACCAACTGTTCATATGAGAAGATGAATACTGGAAAAATAGTCTCTGGATAAGTTGGTGTGCAAGTGAGACATGGTTCAGACCTTTTGATACTGTCTATTATTACAAATATGTTAAGAAATGTTGGATGCAAAATTTGCTCACACGTAACCAAAAATAAAGCAACCACACTTCAGCGGAGCAGTACTTACACATTTGAAAGACACACACTTTGGTCAGTAGTGCCTGTATAGCTATGAAACAGTGTGCTGAGTAAGATATGCCAGTTTTTTTCAATACGGTCACTCTTGGTCAGTTAGTGACTTCCTATCTTTGTGAAGTTGGAAATGTAATTGCTAGGCATGAAAAACTCTGTGTACCCTAGACAGGAACATTCCCAGAAGTTAGAATCAGGCATAGAATTAGGCATAGGTTCATCCCTTATGTTAGGTTTTATAGCCAGGATTTGGTTTATTTGCTCACCACAACAAATATCCAGGACTGTCGTGATGAAAGGTTACTGGAGGGCTCGTAGAGTTCCATTTTCAGAATGCATTCAGACACCAGGGCTGTGTATAGTGCTTCACACAGACACAACACCTTACTCACACCCCCCAAATCCATGTGTACATCTACCCCCCAGCGGTTTCCCCTCATCTCTAGCTGATCAGTCCTAAAAGAGAAAGTGATGGGAGAAGTCAACATTGACAGCACACCTACTTTGGAAGTTAAATCTGGAAGAAGGCTAGTTAGGGAGGAGGTGGTACCTTCTAATGAGTTCTGGCCCCTCTTCAGCTCAATTGCTTTTACTTTGTCAGAACAGGCATTATGCCTCTGAAATCAATTAAAGTTGACTGGGTTGTGGGCATGGTGTTCAAGGCAGCCATAAAGCAGATGCCAGGTGCATTTCTGCACATGTGTGCCTGTATTGGTACACAACCCTGGGCATCCATAGACATGCACTCTCACACCCACAAAATTCAGAAAAGCAAAGACAGTGTATGATCTTTCTGAGCCTTAAAGGAAAATGTGACTCCATAATCAATGGGATAAATGTGTCACATGCAGATCATCTTACTGATCAAATTCTCAATTTTTAACAAATATTTTTGAAGTTTCAGTAGTTTAGAACTTTTTATGAAGATTAATATACTTTCCTCTTAAAGATATGCCTTATGCATTGCAAAAGATTTCCCAATACTTTACAAAACTCTAAACCCTTAATAAGCTGTACTGCAAAATATGTGGAGAGAAAAAAAAGCTACATTACCTTTCCAGAGAGCAAGGTCTGGTGTTGACTATATCATTAAGTACTCAGAGGTTTAAATTCTTTGATTTGTGCATTGTATCTTTGAAAATAAGTACTTAAAAACTTTCCTACATGCCTCCTGAAATTGCATTATCAACTATTTTGACATTAAGTTTAACTTCTTACAGGATGTTAGGCAGAAGGAATGCAAAAGTCAGAAGTTAATAGAGATGCCTGGAGTACCTGAAGAATTTTGACCACTTTGCCTTATTTTGCATGTCTGTCCACAGTAGCCCCCGCTTCAGTCTGCCATGTTGCAATGAAATAGCACCTACTAAATTTCCCAGTGGCCAATGTGGTGAAAAGAGGTAAAAAAGTTACAAACCTGTGGTTAAAAAGAAAGGAAACAGTCTGGGAATAGGTGCATGCAGATTATACTTAACTCTAGTAAATTTTTTTTGCAGGCTATGCTTTAACCAGCACACTGCGTCCGCTTACGTGAGAAATCATTATCAACCGTTGAATCAATCACCCCAGCACTGAGGGAATTCAGAACACTGGAAGCAGTGACCTCACCTCTAAGTGGGGGAAGACGACAGCAGCAGTTGTAGACTAGGCCACAGTCCTGTGTGACGAGCAGAGAAGAAAGCCAATAAGGACATACTTCAATGCTTCTTCACTTATGTAATGCAGGTGTGGCATCTCCCTTTTATTTCAGGTTGGACCTTCTCTTCCTACCTCAACCTTTCACTTTTGGCCTCAATTCTGCACTTTCGTGGACAAACAAAACATGGCTCGGTAGGCATTAATACCAAGGATGTTTATCAACACAAAGTTTGTTCTGTGCCACTCCCTACCGAGACTTGGGAAAACTAAAGCAAGCTAAAGACCCCACAACTTTTAAGATGTTCACGAGAACCCCCCACCCAGGATGTAACAGAGAGTCAACATCTGGAAGGTATCAAATAGAGCTTCCCACGCTGCTCCTGTGGGCCCCTATTAGTGAATCAAGGGAGGAACCAGGGCCCCAAAGTGTCTGGGCAAAGCAGGAGCCTAGGGGCAGGGTCCACTCTCCCTGATCAAACGTCCCCCTTTTCTCACCACATGCCACGGGCACCAGTTGGCCTGTGCATAGCCGTCCTCACATACCAGTAGTTAAGTATCACCACCCACTTCTAACATGTACATGGCGCAGAATTGGCACCTACCAGTGAGATCCAACTAAAAAAGTACATGGGTGAGCCAGAGAGGCCTCAGTTTGACTACAACTTAAAATTTTAGGAAATTGATGTAAAAACCATTTATATAACAGCTTTTATTTTTTCACCAATGCCTGCATAATACAACTTATTAGTCAATCTATTGTGGTTCTAAACATATGCTTTTAAATTTTGAAATAATGCACTTTTGTACTTCACGCCTATAATGTACCTCTTGAAGTCAATGTACAAATTTGCCTGTGTCTTCTCATCTTCAGAGACCCTTTCAGGAAGTTTCCTGGAACTTACAGGAGCATTGCCTGGGTTACAGGCAAGCCCTTCGGCACTGCTCATCACTGGGCTGTTTATTGTAAATGTTGGTTCTGAAAGAGCTGGGAGAGTGAACTGTGGCTCCTACAAGACACAGGAGTGGTTTGTCACCATCAACACCTGTGGCAGGTGCAGCTAGTGCGTGGACACAGTCCTCAGCTCAGCCCCCACACCGGGTGAGCCGCCCTGCCAGCCCCTCCTCCCTGGCTGCTCCTACCGCTGGAAGAGCTCTCCCCCTTCCCCACTCACAAGGATGGACAAGTCAATTGTGTGCTCGTTCCCCGAGGAATGCAGTTCAGTCCCAGCAACACCCATGGAGGAGGGACCCCATCCACGTAGTTGCATAGGGCTCATCACGGAGGAGCCTCAGTGCCCTCTGCATGGTCTCATGTGATGAACAAAGGCCTTTCTTTAACCCCCGGGGCAGAGGGGCGGTTCCAGGGCAGTGGAGGCTCAGATGTGTCCAGGATTAAAAACAAGGCTTACAGGACATGGAAGCAACCTAGATGCCCATCAGCAGACGAATGGATGAGGAAGCTGTGGTACATATACACCATGGAATATTACTCAGCCATTAAAAAGAATTCATTTGAATCAGTTCTAATGAGATGGATGAAACTGGAGCCCATTATACAGAGCGAAGTAAGCCAGAAAGATAAAGACCATTACAGTATACTAACACATATATATGGAATTCAGAAAGATGGTAACGATAACCCTATGTGCAAAACAGAAAAAGAGACTCCGATGTATAGAACAGACTTGTGGACTCTGGGAGAAGGCGAGGGTGGGATGTTTCAAGAGAACAGCATTGAAACACGTATATTATCTAGTGTGAAACAGTTCACCAGCCCAGGTTGGGTGCATGAGACAAGTGCTCGGGCCTGGTGCACTGGGAAGACCCAGAGGGATTGGGTGGAGAGGGAGGTGGGAGGGGGGACCGGGATGGGGAATACATGTAAAAAAAAAAAAAAAAAAAGATACACTATGGTTGTGATAAAAAAATAAATAAATAAATTAAAAAAAAAATAAAGTTCCCAAGCATATTTAAAAAAATAAAAATAAAATAAAAACAAGGCTTACACCAGGATCGAGAGCACACAGTCTTCTGAACTGGAAGCATTAATGGATCTACACAATAAAGATGGGGTCAACAAAGAGGTCCCGAGTGTAGGGTTTCTGAGGGAGACTCCAAGAGACATGGGAAGTGGAAAGAGTCCCGTGAGAATCTGGGATCCGACACCCCATCACTTGTCCTGTGCTTAGGAGGTACAGCTTCTTGTACTTATGACTGCAAGTCAGAGTAGAGCTCCCTGGGCCTAATGCTCAAATTTCATGAGATGGATGCAGAATAAGAGAGGCCTTCAGTACGTTATCTTTGTCCTTGATACACAAACCCACAACAGTGCTCCATTGTCAGGGAATGTTTGATGGGAGGATTCCTACGTGCTGTCTCTCATGAGTCCTTTGTCCCTCTTCAAGCGGAACAGCGCGCTGCTCCCAGGGACTGATGTCATTGTGTGAGGCAGGCTTGGGTCTCCCTTAGTAAACATTCTCTTTAGGACAAAACTGCTTAGTCTCGTTCCCCTTTCTTGAGATATGGATTGTGTCCTGACCTTGTGACTAACATTACCCCCTTGTTCCCTTGGTAACGGTTGCTGTACGTTTGGTTTTCTGATCTCTATCATTCCTGAAAGAACTTTCTTGTACCACCAGCCTATTATATACTCATAGGAAAATCATTAAAGCATCTTTGCTTCATCAGAGCTTAGGTCCCTGGGTCTTTTCTCTCTCTCTCTTTTTCTGGCTGACTCTCTGGAGCGTGGAGACCCGTCATGCTCACTTTACTGCCCGGGCTTCTAAGACCCCCTCGAGAGGGCACCTGGTGCTTTCGTGAGCACGATGCAAGTCCTCAAGGACTTTATTGGTCCTCTGCGTAAACCAAGGGATATCAGCCTCTTTTCTCTTTCACTTTATCAACTCCGTACCACAAGGTTCTGGTCCACTAAAGGACTCCGACACTCCATGACATCCAGCTGTCCCACTAAACATTCAGTGCTCCCTCCCCCAAAGCACACTCAGACAGACCTCCCACTGACCTGAGGCACTGCTTTGAGACACCACAGCAGAACCGTGGATAAAACAAGAATCCAGAGCTCCCCATTCTTGGGCAACAGAGAGGCGGAGAGAATACATAAAGTCCGACGGGGTGACAACGTGCTTCCTGGAGAAAATCAAAGGAAATTCAAATGTGTTGAAGTAACGCATGGCCGTGTCCTGGCGGGGAGAACAACTGCCAAGACAGTGAAGCCACAGTACGCTGCGTGTTCAGTCTGTTTAGAGATTTTTGAGTATGTTTTGCTTCTATAGTTTCACTTGCGTTGCTTACTATTAAAAGTGGTTACCAATCTCATACTCAGCAACTGTATTACAATGATTCAACGGGAAAACTGTCAATGATTTTAGTCAAAAACGTTAGTTGGCTCAGTTTTCTTGAAAACCCATGCACTACAGCCTGCTGGGCGCGTAGGTTATGGAACTTCTCAAGCAAGAAGAGTGGAATGAGTTGCCATTCCCTTCTCCAAGTGATTTTCCTGACCTAGGGATTGAACCAATTCGCTTCCTGCATTGAGAGGCAGATTCTTGACCACTGAGCCACATGGGAAGCCTCATATGTACCTAGTAATACCTAATAGAGTTTTAAATCCAAGGTCTCCTGGGATGGTCTGGTCTGTCTTTTGCAGACACTTTTCTATAAGGCCACCAGACTTCAGCTCTAAGCCTTTTGAATTTCTGAGGACAAAGCAATTGGTCCCTTTGCGGCCTCAGTTTCTAAACGTGAGTTATGCTTTGCTAGAACCACCTTACACAGGTGACCTGGCTGAGGTCCTGGCCACTGTAAGACCCTACAAATCTTGCCATCCCCCTCATCACTGCTACCCATGAAACCCAGTCCACAACATGAAGGGCACAGTCTTGATGAAAGAATGCAGGAGTGGGCAAAGGGTGGGTTGGTAGCAGGGCAATACAGGGAACTGGACCTTTGGCCACTTACAGCCGGTCCCAGCAGGACAGTATGCACGGTTAACTACAAAGCAGCACTTGCGCACTTGCCCCCTTCCCCTCCAATGATTGAATCATGTGTTGCAAATCATGTGTTGCTTCAGCTGCTGACTTTCCACACCCCCTCGACATGAGTCCAGGTGTAGAAGAGCAAGAACACACACCCTGTGCACGTTGGGAAAAGCAGATAGAACAGGTTTTCAGTGATACTATCAAGACATGATTTTAATGAACAAATTCTGGTAGCTCCTCATTAACACTAAACCACAAAAAGCCTTCGGTGGGGACTTCTGACTAGCAGAAATCATGTGACTAAATCTTCAGCCAAGAAACGAGCTTCATTGCATATACTCTTCAACAAAGTCACCTGTTTAACTTTCCCCACATCCTCTTTGCAGTTTATTAGCGCCTTCCGACGTGCTGTGCGCCCTGGGCTGTATTGTCCCTAGGCTATATTCGTCCTCATTTCACCCCCCAACAAATTTCAATTTTCAATTTTGTGCCCACAAGAGCACAAACTCCCTAGGACTAAAAAAAGCCCCAGGCTGAAGACAGAGAACCCACACAGGCCTAAACATGTCAGGAGCAGCCCACGCCCAAGAATGTGGGGAGCCCACAGCCCAGCACACACTGGACAGTGAAGCCTGATTGGCAGGGTTCCCGACCTAGTGGCATCAGTGGCCACCCCACTTGGAGGATGGGGGTTTAGAAGACTCCAGATTCTGGCTGATCAGGCTTTCACCCCCTTTCTCATCTCCATCTGCCACTGCTACTTAAAGTCACTTCAATTGTGTCCGAGTCTGCGCGACCCCATAGTCTGTGCGACCCCATAGATGGCAGGCCACCAGGCTCCTGTCCCCGGGATTCTCCAGGCAGGAATACTGGAGTAGGTTGCCATTTCCTCCGTCACCATCTGCCACTATTACTCAACTCCTTGCACAGGAGCTCTCTAGCCGCCATGATAAAGCACCCATTGGTGTCCTGGTCAGGGTGGGCATTGTGTGGGCCTTCCAAGAAAAGACAACAGGAATGAGCTTGATGGCGGTTTTATGGTGGTGGCAAGAGTTGAGAGTCTGCAGGAAAACAGGGTGTGAGGCCATGAACTAGCCCCTGCACAAAATGATCAGGACAGTAAACTTTCTTTGCATCTCATTTTTAAGAGTTACAGGACTACTAGGTGACAAACCACTTACAACCTGTAACACGAATTAAACTTGAAAACATTGTGTGACACTCACCCGCGTGTATGGAGGCTTCTCCACATCTCCATAAAGCCCAGCTTTTGTGGTGAGGCTCCTCGCACGACCCCGTGCCCAGGATCACGGCAGAGCTCAGCCTCCTTCCTGCTCATCCCCAAACGGTGCAGGCCGGTACTCATTTCACGACATTCAGGCAGCTGACTACCAGGCCCCGACAGAACCGCCAGCACACTGTGAGCGTCCGCGTTGGCCCGCGATGTCACCCACGATGCAGACACCTGCGTGTATGTTTGGCACACAGGCGCCTAGCCCAGGCAGCCCCTGTAGGGAGGAGACATTCCCTGCGAAGATGTCACAAGACCGGCAGGGCATTGTCAGCGGAACCTTAGAACGTTCTCACAGAATTGTAAAACCAAAGGGGCCGCCGCTGAACTTCCCCAGCATCACCGGGACGAATCTGGGCCCCCAACAGCCGAGGACCCACCCCCGGGCCCGCGGTGCTGTGTTCCCATGGGAAGAACAGGGCCTAGGGTCGATCTCCAGTCTTTCGCCTTAAAGCTGGGTTCCCTTTATCCAGGGAAGAGGTCAACCATTGGGATTAGATGGACGGGACCCACGGGGCAAAGACATGGGAACTATTTGTGTACGTTTCACTGTCATTTTTTCTGGGTCTTTTGTCAGCAGAAACCACGGTAGACAAAAAGCTGTGATCACAGGCGGAGAGCGTTTTACGGGAAGAAACAACAAGGAGTGTTACCCACCCAGGGCGGGCGCCATAACTTAACTCGTAAAAATGCCTGCCCGGTCTCCCCCACAATCTCCGGCGACAGGAGGAGGTGTCCGGTCCTCGCCGCTCCCGGGACTCTCGCGGCCAGTGCCGCCGGCTTCTGGAACGCTCCCTCAGGGCAGGCGACGGAGGCGCAGCCCTTGGGCAGGGCGCCGAAGCTCCAGCAGGAAGAAAATGAAGTCGCTCAGCCGTCTCCGACTCTTGGCAGCCTCTTGGACTGTAGCCCACCAGGCGGCTCTGTCCCTGAGAATTTTCAAGCGAGAACAGAGTGGTTTGTCATTTCCTCCTTCAGGGGCTTTCGTCTCCAGACGAGCCTCGGTCTCCCGCATTGCGTGCAGACGCTTTACGATCTGAGCCACCAGGGAAGCCTGGTGGGGAAGGGACGAGTTCAAGGCGGCGGCCGGTGGCTCCGAATCACGGCCGTAAGGTCCCCTGGACGGGTCCCGGTCACGGGCCTGTTGTCGAGAAGGGAACAGCGCGAGCCGCCGAAACGCCTTGAGCGCCTCCTGGGGCGTCTGCCTCAAAGCCGCCTCCCAGCACGCACAACACGCTGCGGCCGCGCGACCCGGGCCGCGGAGGAAACAGGCCATCGGGGAGCTGGAAGTGCCTGGCCGGGAGGCTGCCTCCAAGGAGATGCCTGGTTGATGCCGGCGGGGCGGCGCACACGCAGTCCAATGAAACGGCAACCGTGCCAGTACAGGGAAAAAGCGTGCGTGAATAGTTCATTTTCTGCAGATTCAGAGTGGCATCCTTGTTGCGAGGAACTTTTTTTAAGTCCAGCAGTGAAAGTGAAAAATAAACGACTACAAACTGGTGTTCACATATTTCATGAAGTTCAATGAATAAATGTATCGAGAACATTCCTGTAAATTTATAGGCCTGATAGTTTCAGGTCAGCTTTGCTTAACATAAAAATCGGTGTTTGGAAGACGACTAAGAGGAACTAGGTTGGTTAATTCTAATACATGTGCATAAGGCAACCTTACCAATTTGTGTTTGAGTTATAGGTATTAAATGAAGTAGATCTATACGTACTGCAAAGAAGTTGACAGTGAAGCTGTTCAATGACAGTAAGTTATAAAACTGCCGATAGTGTTTTTCAAAATAACATGCATTATCTTCTGAAGAAACTGAAAGGTAAGGATTCTAGAATAGCAAAAGGAATTTTGAAAAAAAAAAAAAAAACAAAAACAAAAACGCAGAAAACATGCTTCCCTGTGACTTGGAGTCTGGAGTCAGAAAGATAAGTGCCTCTAGAAATAAAAATGGGCCCATCTCTCCTGCTACAGACTCTGGGCTGCCCACTGGCATCCCAGCCCCTAAATGTCTGTTTCATGTAGATCCAGAGCCAGATGTGTGGTGTGTGGGGGTAACCTCCACTCTGCAGACCTGGACACCCTGACCTGTTTCCTTAACCTGGGAGTCCCCACCCCCAGCCACATGAATTGATAAGATTGCCTTGTGTAGTTGTACTAGAAATTACCTACCTAGTTCCTTTCAATGCTTGTTTTCCAAATACTCTGCTTTTATACTAAGCAATGCTGGTACTCAATCCGATCATCCCCATCAGGGGATACTGGCCCTACGTTGCGTGGGTGCAGCCCTTCTCTCCATGAGCCTTCAGCTGTTTTCCCAAGGAAAGGACATGCTCCTTCCACGAAATGCAGTACTTGGGTGCAATCTCAAAAATAACAGGATGATCTTTCATTTCCAAGGCAAACTATTCAATATCACAGTAATCCAAGTCTATGTCCCAAGCACTAATGTTAATGAAACTGAAGTTGAAGGGTTCTCTGAAGACCTACAGGACCTTCTAGAACTGACACCGAAAAGAAAAATGTCCTTTTCATCATAGGGGACTGGAATGCAAAAGTAGCATGCCAAGAGAAACCTGGAGTAACAAGCAAGTTTGGGCCTTGGCATGCAAAATGAAACAGGGCAAAGGCTGTTTTGCCAAAAGAGAATGCACTGGTCATAGCCAACATCTTCCAACAACACAAGGGAAGACTCTACACAAGGACATCACCAGATGGTCAATACAAAAATCAGACTGATTATATATTCTTTGCAGCTGAAGATGGAGAAACTCTATACAGTCAGCAACAAGAAGAGTGGGAGCTGATTGTGGCTCAAATCACAAACTCCTTATTGCTAAATTCAGACTTAAATTGAAGAAAGTAGGGAATACCACTCGGCCATGTATGACATAAATCAAATGCCTTATGATTATACAGTGGAAGTGAGAAATAGATTTAAGGGACTAGATCTGATAGTGCCTGATGAACTATGGATGGAGGTTCATGACATTGTACAGAAGACAGGGAGCAAGACCATCCCCCCAAAAAAGAAATGCAAGAAGGCAAAATGATTGCCTGAGAAGGCCTAAAAAATAGCTTAGAAAAGAAGAGAAGCTAAAGGCAAAGGAGAAAAGGAAAGATATACCCATTTGATTCAGAGTTTCAAAAAATAGCAAGGAGAGATAAGAAAGCCTTCCTCAGTGATTAATGCAAAGAAATAGAGGAAAACAATAAAATGGGAAAGATGTGAACACAACAAGAAAATTAGAGATACCAAGGGAACATTTCATGCAAAGATGGGCCTGAAAAGGAGAGAAATGGTATGGACGTAACAAAGGAAAAAAACCTAAGAGGTGGCAAGAATACACAGAAACTAAACAAAAAAGATCTTCATGACCCAAATAATCACAATGGTGTGATCACTCACACTCTCCTAGAGCCAGATATCCTGGAATGTGAAGTCAAGTGGGCCTTAGCAAGCATCACTATGAACAAAGCTAGTGGAGGTTGATGGAATTCCAGTTGAGCTATTTCAAACCCTAAAAGATGATGCTGTGAAAGTGCTGCACTCAGTATGTCAGCAAATTTGGAAAACTCAGCAGTGGCCACAGGCCTGGAAAAGGTCAGTTTTCAATCCCAAAGAAAGACAATGCCAAAGAATGTTCAAACTACCACAAATTGCACTCATCTCACATGCTAGCAAAGTAATAATGCTCAACATTCTCCAAGCCAGGCTTCAACAGCATGTAAACTGATAACTTCCAGATGTTCAAGATGGATTTAGAAAAGGGAGAGGAACCAGAGATCAAATTGCCAACATCCGTTGGATCATTGAAAAAGCAAGAGAATTACAGAAAAACATCTACTTCTGCTCCATTGACTTCAAGGCTGTATATTATCACCTTGTTTTTTAACTTATGTGCAGAGTACATCCAGTGAAATAAATGCTGAGCTGGATGAAGCACAAGCTGGAATCAAGATTGACAGGAGAAATATCAATAACCTCACATATACAGATGACACCACCCTTACAGCAGAAATTGAAGAAGAACTAAAGAGCCTCTAGATGAAAGTGAAAGAGGAGAGTGAAAAAGTTGGTTTAAAGCTCAACATTCAGAAAACTAAGATTATGGCATGTGGTCCCATCACTTCATGGAAAATAGATGGGGAAACAATGGAAACAGTAGCAGACTTTATTTTGGGGGGTGTTCCAAAATCACTACAGATGGTGACTGCAGCCATGAAATTAAAAGACGCTTGCTCTTTGGAAGGAAAGTTATGATCAACCTAGACAGCATATTAAAAAGCAGAGACATTACTTTGCCTACAAAGGTCCATCTAGTCAAGGCTATGGTTTTTCCAGTGGTCATGTATGGATGTGAGAGTTGGACTGTGACGAAAGCTGAGCACCGAAGAATTGATGCTTTTGAACTGTGGTGTTGGAGAAGACTCTTGAGAGTCCCTTGGACTGCAAGGAGACCCAACCAGTTCATCCTAAAGGAGATCAGTCCTGGGTGTTCATTGGAAGGACTGATGTTGAGGCTGAAACTCCAATACTTTGGCCACCTGATGTGAAGATCTGACTCATTGGAAAAGACCCTGATGCTGAGAAAGATTGAAGGCAGGAGAAGAAGGGGACAACAGACAATGAAGATGGTTAGATGGCATCACTGAGCATGAGTTTGAGCAAGCTCTGGGAGATGGTGATGGACAGGGAGGCCTGGCATGCTGCAGTCCATGGGATTGCAAAGAGTCAGACACGACTGAGAAACTGAGCTGAACTGAACTACTCCTGCCAAGCAAGAAGCTTGAAGCAGGAAACCTGTGGCAGGGCAATGAAACTATCATCACAATTAATTAGAGCCTGGTTTTGCTTCAGTCCATCTCTAGGCTCAGCACTAAGTTTTGCTCTAGGGATCTGTGTGATATCTAGGGATGTGTAAAATTATGTTTCACATTCTTTTACTTCCAACCATTAATCAATACCGAAGAAAGTGAAGAAGTCAGAGTCTTAAATCCAGGATTCAGACACTTGACATTACCATGAATTGCACGGTAATGTCCACCCAGTGAAAATCTGCCTGACTAAGCAGAAAAGCTACAATTCTCCTGTCTCTGCTCTGCTTTAATGTTTGCAGGAAAGGGCAAGTGAATTGCCCCCTCAGTCCCTTTATGTTATGCTCACCTTAGATCCTGTCCCCATATACCCCAATACCCTGAGGCAAAAGTTTACAGAGAGATGAAGCTAGGGAAGCAAACCCAGTGTCCCCTGATCCCACTGTGATGACCTTGTTTAGTTCAATTCAGTCAGTCAGTGGTGTCCAACTCTTTGCAACCTCATGGATGCAGCACCTCAGGCTTTCCTGTCTATCACCAACTCCCAGAGCTTACTCAAACTCATGTCCATCAAGTCGATGATGCCATCCAACCATCTCATCCTCTGCCATCCCCTTCTCCTCCCGTCCTCAATCTTTCCCAGCATCAGGGTCTTTTCTAATGAGTCAGTTCTTCACATCAGGTGGCCAAAGTATTGGAGTTTCAGCCTCAGCATCAGTCCTTTCAATGAATGTTCAGGACTGATTTCCTTTAGGATGGACTGGTTGGGTCTCCTTGCAGTCCAAGGGACTCTCAAGAGTCTTCTCCAACACCACAGTTCAAAAGCATCAATTCTTTGACCCTCAGCATTTATAGTCTAACTCTCATATCCATACATGACTACTGGAAAAACCATAGCTTTGACTAGATGGACCTGGACCTCTGTTAGCAAAGTAATGTCTCTGCTTTTTAATATGCTATCTAAATTGGTCATAGCTTTTCTTCCAAGGAGCAAGTGTCTTTTAATTTCATGGCTGCAGTCACCATCTGCAGTGATTTTGGAGCCCAAGAAAATAAAGTCTCTCACTGTTTCCACTGTTGTCCACAAATCACATCTGTCTGCTGGCCCCTGCCACCATCTGACCAGGACTTTAGGTGCAGGGGCCTGCTCAGCATGTCTGCCCTGAGTGTCACAGAAGACCAGGGAAACAAAAGATTGAAAGGAAAGCATTCCAAGTGAGGGGGTCACACTCATGATTAGCTTACTACAGTTTGACTTCAGTTACTAGAAAAGAGGGAAACTGTGCCATATGCGTTAACCTTCTACAGAAACTGTAGCTGGAGACTACCAGGAACCTTGAACTTGTCTTGAAAGTGAAAGTGTTAGCTGCTCAGTTGTGTCTGAATCTTTGTGACTCTTTGTGACTGTAGCCCACCAGGCTCCTCTGTCCATGGGATTCTCCAGACAAGAATAATGG